TTAAGAACAGAAGAGCTGACAGAAAAATTTAAAACTTTGGTTTTCACAGAACTCTGTACCCAACAATCAGAGAGAATACATTCTTCCCAAGGACACTTGAGCATTTACAAACTAGTATTTGGTAGCGTAGTGGTTACAAATCGAGCTGCGAACTTCAGGGCCAGCAGTTCGAAACTACCAGCTGTTCCGCGGGAGAAAGATGAGGCATTCTGCTCCCGTAAAGATTTACAGCCTCAGAAACCCTGTATAGGGTCGCTATGAGTCAGAATCAACTCCACAGCACATAACAACAACATTTACACATTAAACCATAAGCTAAATCATAAAAAAAATTCAAGAAATACTACCATACAGAACACACTCTCTGACTATAATACAAATGAGATGTTGTCATTTAGACATAAAAGAAATTTCGTCTTCATACGTGCTACCACATGGATGGAGCTTCAAGACATGCTTACTGAAATAAGTCAGTCACAAAAAGGTATATATTGTATGATCTTACTTATATAAAAAGACAACAGCAGGCAAATATACAAAGACTAAAGTTTATTAAAGCTTACTGGGGAAGGGGAGAAGGGGAAAGAAGGGAGCTACCGGTGTATGGTAACGGAAAACTTACATTAAGGGTAGAGTTGCCAAGTAAATTAATGCAGTTGCTGTCAATAAGTTGTACACGTGCTAAAAGCTGAATTGGAAAAAGTTGTGTGATAGGTCTATGGACAAAAAAGAGAGAGAGAGAAAGAGAGAGAGAGAGAGAGAGAGAGAGAGAGCAGCTGAGATGCTTACTTACAACTAACCACCTCAGAATTTTGTTCCTTGTTTTGCCAATTTCGAGTCAGTGTCTCATGGGACATTATAGTTAGTTGACCTACTAACAACATGTTTAGTGTTTCTATTCTACCTCCTAGTTCACTGAGTGGTTTGTATCAGGTGTCTTAAACACTTGAAAGCAGCCATGTAATTTATAACAATTGATCATTATTTGTCTAAGGCAACAGAACAATGGGAATCAGGAGTAAGAGGAGGAAGTGGAATAGGAGGAGAAAGTGAAATGACTCCATGAGCAAATGTCTCATTTGACATGGGACCAGAACTGGATGACAGCCTGCTACTATTACTGAAAATTCTGCTCTAATATTCTACAGAAGAATACTAACCAACAGGTGAAAAATGGAGAAGAGAATTTCAAATTCTCAGACTCCAGAATTCTGGAGGTTGAAAAAAATTCTGAAACTAGTACCCTGAGATAATTTTAAACCTTAAACCAAATATATTCCCTGAAGTCTTCTTAAACCCCATTAATAGTTTACCTTAATGTAAGAATGGACATGGGGAACAACGTCCAACCCCTTCTGACTTCACGTGAGGGGAGGAAGAAAACCACTATCTGCATCAGCCCAAAGCCAGTTCCTACAAAGTTAGACATGCCTTCAAGCCTTCTACCTTCTCACCAACTCTGACACCAATCATCCTTTCTACAGAACTCTCTACTCAGCTGGGGTAGATAATTCAAACCCAGGGACAGAAAGCAATGACCACAAAGGATTAGACAATTCATGATTAGAAATGCTCAGGACACAGTCCTTTCAGTCAGGACCACTTCTTCTCAGTCAGATCCACAGGCAACTTCCTTGCTGGACCCTGGAATCTCAGCCAGAGACCCTTGGTCTTTGCTCTGCTCCAGCAATGTTACAAAGTTCCTTTAGCACTGCTGGTAAATACTCAAAGGGCACTCCACTTTACTATAAGCCTCAGCCTCAAGGCACACAGTTCCAGCCCTGTGGGTCAGCAAACTCCCCAACTGAGTACCTGGAAGCACCCCATGCCAAAAGTGAGACTCCTGCCTAAAGGCACCCAGCTCTGCTTGTTCTGTGTGCTGGGAAAGCCACCACTCAATATTCTGGTACTGAGTGTTCCACTACTCCTCCTAAGGTTCTCAGTGAACAACAAATTAAACACTATCCAGTCCACACCAACCTCACAATCATTGCTGTGCCTGGGCTGCTGCCCTTGTGCCAATCTATCTCACTGGG